AAAAAAAAAAAAAAAACTAAGTCAGGTCATATTACTCCTTTACTCACAAATCTCCAGCGGTTTCCCATTTTTGAATAAAGGCCAATGTTCTTACACATGTCTACAACTTATACCATCTACTCCCTTCATTTCCTGCCACTAACACTTTGCTCCAATCACACTTGCCTCCTTCCTGTTCCCATGACATGCCACTTAAATACCTCTGCACTTTTGCTGTTCCGTATGCCTCAAAACACTCTTCCTTCAAAGAGCTGTAGGACTTATTCCCTTAATTCCTTCAAGGAGGCATTCCCTGACTATATGTAGCACTGCAATCCCTGTTTCTACTCCTGTACTCCTGACACTCCCAACATTCTTCCCTGTTTTGTTTTTTCCCCTATAGCACTTACCTTCTGGCTTACTATATATTTTACTTATTTATTTACTGTTTCTCCCTATTAGATTGCCACAAAGGCAGAGATTTTTAAAATATATTTTATTCATTGTTATATCCCTAGCTCTGAGAATTCTTTGGTATGTAGTTGGCACCCAACAAATATGTATTGAGTCAATGAATAAAACATTATCCCTCTAATAACCCAAATTTAAAGGTCTAGGGCATTTTGATTTCTACTTTGCCTTTATATATCTCATTTAGTCAGTAACTACATCCACTGAATCTATTATATGAATCCTGCTTCTCACACACTCTATTTTGGGTCTTCATTATCTCTCAAACAGTCTAATACAAAAGTATCATAACTGATGTCCCCAATTTAATAAATATTAAGTACCTTCTATGTGCCAAGCAGGTTAGACAGTAGGAATAAAAGGTGAACACAATCCAAATCCTTTATGCACTTTACCATCTAATTACAACCTGCTTTGACTTCTACTCATTTATCTTAAACACTTCAGACTGACTTATTGTTTACATGTATGTCACAATCTGCTTAAAAATAAAAACAAACATAAACTACCAAAAAACCATCCATTCCTTACCTAAAGATTAAGTCTCATAATGTCAATTAAGAGCTTCTACTATTAGCTTTCAACCTAATTTCTCAGCATTATTTCTTACTATCCAATGCAATACTATAGGACAACTGCTAAACAAATCTCATATTTTCTGCCTATATACTTTTGTTCAAGCTGGTCTATCAGCTTGACAGTTTTTGTTTCTTTATCTAACTGATGAAAGGTTGCCTAGCTTTCAAAAATCTAACTTAGATACCATTTCTTCCTGGATACCACAGTCAAAAATGTTAGCTTCCCTTTTCGAAAGTTAGCTAATACTCTCTACTAGTTGAGAGAATATAGCATAACATTCATCAACCAGTCCTGGTTTTGTTTATAGTTCTGCCTTATTAAAGATGTGACCCTGGGGTAAGTGAGTTCTCTGGATTTCAGTTTTATCACTTGCAAAATGAGGATAATTCCTATCTGCTTGGGTTGTTGAAATAAATGAGATAAAACACACAAAATACCTAGCACAGTGTCTTGCATCTTAAAAAAGGGTTCAAGAAATCTTATGTCTCTCCCCAGTTGTTGTTATTTCTTATCACATTTTCTGCCTCATTACAATTACCTGTGTATGTGTCTTAAACCACCTCCCTTCCAACAAATTTTAGAAAGATAGGAATTATGCCCTATGTATCTTTGTATCCTCCACAGCACCAATTTCAGTACCTTGTAAACAGTAAGGTAATGTGCACTGTTAAACTAACTAACAATAAATTAATTAGCAAATCTATTTTTGCTACATATTCCTCTGCCAGTTTTGAAGCTCTTAAATGAAAATAGAACTAGACAGAAACAGTAAATACAAACGAATATAAAGAAAACTAACAAATATATTCTTGAAATTTGAGATTGTTATATGGTATCTGAACCTGTTCCCTTACAGTTCTCTTACCTGTTACTTCATCACTATGAGTAGACAATAGTTTCCAAATGAGGTAAGGACCACCAAGGATAACAGCAAAGAACAAGAATATTGGCCATGATTTTGCTGAGGTAGCTGCTCGGTCCTCAGCACCAAGGCATGCCACAGTTCCTTCACTTTCCGCCCAGAGGTCTTCATTCTCAGAGCCTCTTCTTAAACCTAACATCCGCTGTAACCTTCTGTAAAGATACCGTATAGTCCTAACTAATGCAAAAGCTGAAAACACTTTTGTAAAGTGTATTTTCAATCGGGAAAAGTGATTTGCTACATCCAATACAGCCCTGAAACTGTTATAGACAGCTGAAAAGGTAGCATCCATCATCATACTGACAGAGGCAAATGCATGCACAATACTTTCAATGGACTGAAATGCACCCCTGCTGCTTTCTTCAGCTTGCTGAACAAATCTACTGGGTGGAAGATCATCTACACGGAGGCGGTTGTAGCCCAGCCCATTATATCCGTAACTATAAGGACTATAGCTTCCATAAAATGAATTTCCATAGGCACCATATCCAGAAGAAAATGAACTGTAAGCAGGTCTAAAAGTGTTCACACTGCTACTTCCTGTCTGCTGTGATGGCCTTGGAAGAATAGGTGGGGGCACTCTGGTAAGTGCTGGTTGTCCAGGTCTTGTCATTAAAGTAGGACCCAAATCAGCAGATCTAAAACCAAAAAAGATTCAAAACAGTTATTTAAGCATACAATAAATTCAATTCAAAGTAACTATTAAACACCTACTATATACCTGGTGCTATGACAACTTCTTCTGTTGCCCAGGCTGGAGTGTAGTAGCACAATCAAAGCTCACTGTAGCCTCAACCTCCCAGGCTCAAGTGATCCTCCCACCTCAGCCTCCTGAGCAGCTGGAACTACAGGCGCATGCCACCATACCTGGCTAATTTTTTATAGAGATGGGGTTTCGCCATGTTGCCCAGCTGGTCTCAATCTCCTGGGCTCAAATGATCCACTGCCTTGGTTTCCTAAAGTGCTAGGATTACAAGTGTGAGTCACTGTGCCCAGGCATCATTTTAAAGTTTATAATTTAATAGTTTTTAGTATACTCACAGAGGTGTGTAACTATCACCATGTGTAATTCAGAAGATTTTCATCACCTCACAAAAGAAACCCCATATTCATCAGCAGGTATTCCCCATTTCCTGCCCACCCCTCCACCCATCTTTGGCAACCATGAGTCTACTTTCTGTACCTAGACTTGTCTATTCTGGACATTTCATATATAGTTAATTCTTGTTATTTAACATAGTTA